GTGCTTTGATCTATCTCTCAGGATCCAAGACAGGCTGCTTCACAGGGCAGGCTGGAAGTAACCTCTCTTGTGGGCCTAAGTAAAGGAGTCTAATTCAGTGTCAAGAAAAAAGCTACCTTCTTTTGTTAAGTATTTTGAAGGATTTTCAACACTGGTGTGCTCCTCTTTCCTTGAACAATATGATACAGGATTGCATATTTAAGCGTTGTCTTCAATTCTTTCTACCATGCCAAGAAGACATGTGAAAGAATTAATTTCTTTTTTTTTTCCTTTCTCCTCATCATCTTTTTCAGAAATAGAAGGGAAGCCAAGTCAGGTTCTGTATAAACTCTTTAGTGAGTTCTGCAGCACTTTGAAATGAAACTTGCTTTCTTGATGCATGCGTATTGTAATGCCGCCGAGGCCTCTACTGGGTTTCCATGCATTCTTCCAAGATGAGCAAGTTCTGATCTGCTATCATAAGAAGGTGCAAAGAAAGAACTCTTTGATTAAAACCAGAGTAAGTCAGCAGAAGACTCTACGCTTTTGGTTTTACAAGTCACATCGCTTGAAGAAAGAAATCAAAACTTTTTACTGCTTGCTCCAAGAACAGGGAGCCAGAGGAGGTTGATGCACAATCTGTTGTAACACATTCTAGCATTACAGCTGCTTAGACTACATGCTTTTTAGTAATACATGGAAACAGTTCTTGCAGGAATAAAGTGACAGCTCCCTGGCTTCTATGCTAAAATCTGATCTTTTATCTTTTCTTAGAAAAGGTCTAAATAATCTACTGAGTACGAGTTGCTGAAAAGATCTTTCTCTGAAAGTCAATTACTAGATGTTTTTAAAGAAGCAAATTAAAATCTCTCTGCTTGTTATTTCTTTATGTTGTCCATAAGTAATGGATGCTGTGAGGAGAGTTGTTGAATAAAATAAGATAAATTGAATTTTTAAAATGTAGTCAAGGACTAGACAGTTTTGTCCATTAACAATTATGTAGATTCTCTTCACTGTGGTTCCTGCCCATTTTATGCTGAGCATATATTAAAAATACTTAATAGGATCTTTTTTGCCTGCATCCCTGAGCCGGTAATACAAATAATGAAATTATTAGAGGAATTAGAGACACTTCTTGTTTGTCTGAAACTTGGACTAGGAGTTGTTTCACTTCCCTCCCACCCCCCCAGCCCAGGGAGAGGATCATCTAATTGTCCTAACCCTTTCTCCACCCACCAAAAACAGCCGTTTATGCAAAGTGGGACAGTTTCCTATGGGATCTCCTGTGGGAATATGAAAACAGTCTCATTGAATATTTTACTGTCTGTTTTGTATTGCTCACAGAGTAACTACCTTTTCTTTGAGGGCTAGAAAAATAGAATTTCACGCTTAGGCATTTTACCTAAATAAGTTTGTTTAAGTACAAGGCTGACTAAACAGCTATATATATATACATATATATATATACACACACAATGCTGGCTTTTTTTATTGGCTTCTTGCAAGCTGTATGCAGGCTTGTATGTTAGTCCACAGATTACACAAAAGACAGTGGCAGTGAATGGAGACAAATAAAGCAGCATTGGGATTTAAAAGAAGTTTGTTGATTCCAACTCATCCATGAGCAGACAGAAGGTGTAATAAAAAATGCATGGGTTTTGATGTGTATAGGGTGACTGATAAGTAGATAAGAACTCAATTTGCTTGAAAATAGTTTCAGGCTGCCTTTTGGAGAGAGTCCTGTTGTCTGGCTTAGGTTTCTGTGAATAAACGCGCTCTTCAAGGCTGGTGGTCGCTCAGCTATTGGAAATGCAAACTCCAGCTTTCCCAGAAGGGCACTTGTATTTGGGGAAGAAGGACGTGGACCGTGTCATCTGCTGGCTCGTGGTTTAATCTTTATTTTGCACTTCCAGCTGATAAGACCGCTTTGTGCAAAAGTAATACAGGAAATGATGCACTGCGAAAACCAAGAGTGGCAGAAGGGGAAACAGAATGTTCTGGCAAGGGCTCAGCACTGTGGATGGACATGTTCCCTGCTTCTCACAAATGAAAACCTCCACCTATGCTGCTTTTTTTTTTTTTTTTTTAGCTTGATACTGGTATTGGAGCTTAGGGTGAGTACTATACACTAGTATATGGCTATACGGGTTTTCTCCCCCTCTACCTTTTGGCTTGTTGAGGGCTTGGAGTATGCTTAGACTTTGTTCAGGCAAGGTCCCTGGGCTGAGGGCTGATGGCTGGTGAAGTCCTGCTGAGCAGCGTTACTGCCAAGCACATCTATAGTACTGTACCTAATTCTACACCTTCTGCTCCCATCAAATTTCTTGCCGCAGAAATGCCAGCAGTTAAGATAATACTTTTGATTGTGATAGTGAAATATGTTTTGGAGTGTATGGTTTGGGGAGTGGAGTGTGTTTGTGTTGCAGGATTTGATCAAAAAACTTTGGGAAAACCTGTTCCTAGGATCTCACTACGTGGATCTGTGTATGAACATTGTCTTAGCCTTTGCAGAGCGTGTGTACTAGCTCATGTTAGGGTTGTATTTTCAGGCACTAGAATAAACATAGTCCATGTTTATTTCCACTAAGCTATTTGAAAAATGGTTCAGGCCTGGGTAGAACCATGTCTGCAGTCATTGTCAATGCTGAAGGAAGTTTGGATTGAGATTTAGACTTTGTACTTGCTTTTTTTATTATGACTTCAGCTCAGATATTTTGAGTATTTTTTGCTAATTCAAATGGATATAAAGTAGAAAGCTTGACTTAGGTGGTGATAGACCACTGCAACTTGTAACTTTTGTGTGTGGAACTTGTGTCTTTGAAAAATACAGGAAAAAGATGCTTAGAGTATTGATTGAGAGACAGACTATGTATAAATTGAGAGTAACTCTGTTACACAGGCATTTGAAGCACGTGTGCTGGAGTTCTGGTAATATGGTTCTTAAATCGGCAGAGCGTTTTAATAGAGCACTTTACAGGTCATGTAAGGATAAAGTATACCCGGGGTACAGTCAGTCACAGTAATGGAGTTTCAGTTCATTTAACAGTATAACACGTGCTCAAGTAACAAAATAAATTCTTAAATATGCCCCAGGCTCATGCAAATATTCCATTGCATTGACATGATTATTTCGAATATAGTTCTTGGCATAAAAGAAATGGGACGTGCCATTACGAAGTGCAGGTAGATATGGTCTGTGTCTTAGACCATAATTGTTATTCACATAAATGTAGTTTATGCATTCAGCCTAATAAAACCAAACCTTTGCAATTAGATAATTCAGTGACAGATTAATTAGAATCAAGTGGATGAATTTCAGCTTAAAATACTTCCAGTATAGTGGTACACTATGAAACCATTACAATATATCATAGTCAAGAGGATGATTGTGGCGTAGCATTTACAATTTTAACATCTGCAATTTCTTCTTAGTATAACTATGAAATACTGTAGGATGCGGGTGTGCGGGCACCTTCTAGTCTGTGTGTGTATAGGCTGCTGGTTGGCTGGGGTTTTTTGTATCTTTCTGATGGCAACAAAAATATTCATATCCTTTTCCCCTTCCCCCTTCCTCTGCAACCTGTTAGTATCCAGTCCAGGATACGTTTCCTGTCTGTCTTCATGCTCCGTTTGAAAATCAGTGGTTTAGTGCTCTTTGTCTCACTTTCCCCTCCCTGCCAGCGCTCTGTCTCTTCTACTTCCCCCAGCCGAGCCTTTTGCCCGCTCCCAGCCTGGGCAAGTACAAAACTTCCTCAGGGGCTTCTTCGTATGTTCAGTTTCTGCCCCTCATCATCCCTGTTCCACGTCTCACAACTCAAGGACCACTGTGCCATCTAAAATACTCTTGTCAGGATTTCTTCCTCCTTCCCACTCCTTCATGTGTCCTTGAGTACATCAGGTGGGCATTGCAACGGCATGGGTCAGGGTGTCATCGGTGAAGTAAGTTCATGGTGTCGTTCCCTCACAGCTCATAAAGCAGACTGTGAGGGCTTTTTAGTGGGGTGGGGAGACAAAGTTTTCTCTCTTATGCGAGATGAGTGAGGGGAAAGATCTGTTTAGTTTCTCACTTCTTTCTTTGTTCCTGTGAACACTTTGTTCAGTGAAGCTGAACTATTTTTATTTCAGATCTTCTATGCACAAGTCTGGTGCAGTGATTTTTGAGCTGTATCACTGGCAGTTTGGAGAGAGCTGGGTAGCACAATGCTGTTGGGGCATGTTGCTTCCAGCTGCTCTCTGAAATAAATTTTAAATAAAGCGCTAGTGATCTTGCATTGATTCCTGGGCGTGTTTTGCTGGTTAATGTTGCAACAGCTGATAGGCAGAAGGGAGTGCCCTTTGTGTTTAATGGTGAAAGATGAAATCTGGGGGACTGTTTTACTCTAGATTTAATGTGAACTATATTTCTAATTTAGGACCCTTGCCCCTTTGTGGAGTATGGATGAGAATACAGCCATGTCTTATTGTGTTTTGGCTTTTTCTATCAAGCTTCTCACTGAGGCCATATTTGGGCACCAAGCAGAAGTACTGTTGGAAGCTGGCAAATGCAGTTGCTGTTCCCCTTGCTGTGTGGCACAGAAATCACTGAGGCCACACAGCAAATTGGATGAGGGAATCCAATTTGAGCTGACGATGAATTGTCCCACCACCTACCTCTACCCCTTATTCTCTCCTCCTACTGAACCCTCTCCTCAGCCTCTTCTGGTTGTATTTATGCAGTGTTGTTATTTTCCAGGGTGATCACCTTATTTATTCAGGGCTGTTTTAGGAAGAGGAATGTACAGGATTCAGCAGCAGGCCCTGTTGCTTAAAAGTCTTTGTAAGGAGTGCCTTGAGTCCAGTTCTGGAGCCTGTTAACGCTTTGTCATTTTTTGTTGTTGTTGGTTGGTTTTCGGTCACACCACTCTTGTGGCTGGGAGGGATGTTTTTAACTGCTGTGTGTTACTTGAAAAGGTAATTTATTTTTCTTTTTCCCCTCCCTCTGGTATACTACTGCAGGTTCTCGGCCAGAAGGGTTTAGAATAATGAGAAAGTCGTGTTGGTCAAGGGGAGATGTCAGCACGGCCTTCCTGGGATTGGAGGACTGAAAAGGAGAAAGGACCAGAATTATTTGATACAGGCTGCTTCTGACTACTGACGCAATCTGCTGTACCCTGGTGGTGGAAGAACCAGGACCATCTCCTGCGTGGTTCTGTGGTATCACCACAGCAGGGTCACCATGAATGTGACAAGTTTATTCTCCTTCACCAGCCCAGCGGTGAAGAGGCTCTTGGGATGGAAGCAGGGGGATGAAGAAGAAAAATGGGCAGAGAAAGCTGTCGATGCGTTAGTGAAAAAACTGAAGAAGAAAAAAGGTGCTATGGAGGAACTGGAAAAAGCATTAAGCTGTCCTGGTCAGCCCAGCAACTGTGTCACAATTCCTCGTTCCTTGGACGGCAGGCTTCAGGTTTCACACCGGAAAGGGCTACCGCATGTAATTTACTGTAGAGTGTGGCGCTGGCCGGACCTGCAGAGCCATCACGAACTGAAACCACTGGAATGCTGCGAGTTTCCATTTGGTTCAAAACAGAAGGAGGTTTGCATCAATCCCTACCACTACAAGCGGGTAGAGAGTCCTGGTAGGTTCTTCCTTGTTTGTACCTTTACACCTTATCTGAACAATGCAAAGTATGGCAATTAATCATGTGACTCGTCAGCTTAAATAAGCAAAAGTGGCTGTTTGCACATGTCAGGTTCTTCCTCTGCGATTTATCTGGATGTAAGCATTAATTAGCAGTTCTCCCTTTTACATGGCAAATGCTTCACTTGTGTAAATGTTTTGTCACCTACAGAGGTATAGTGATAGTATATGCCTCAAGCTGTTGGGCCTGCTATCACCTGGTTTTGTTGGTAACCACTATCTTTAGGTTACTTGTTTGTTTGGGTGTTTTTATACTCAGCTGTGCAGATCAGTGAATGTGTAGGAAGCACTGCGAGCTAATGTACAGGATTCACACAGTCTACTGCAGTCTGTGTGTGAAAGTCACTCCAATATTCTGCAGTAGCGGTATTCTTATTATTTCCAGATTATTACTTCCCTTCTAATCAGTTTTATTTCTTCATTCCCCAGAAGATAATATTGTCTTTAGGATCTCCCACAATGTTGGCCTTTTGAGAAGACTGTGATTTTTAGACAGCAGAATATAATCCCCTCAGCTTAAAGCTTTGATAGCAATCAATAGCGCTTTGATAGCAATCAATAGCACTTTGATAGCACTTGTTTTTTTTGAAGTGCAATCCATTCGCTCTGTCTCATCTCCAAAGGCCAAACCTCTTTTGGATAATGCTGTGCTTAATTTGACTTACACAAGCTTATTATTGGGGAATACTTCCAGGGACGAAGATGAAATGTGCTTGGACGTTACTATACTAGCATCCAGCTACTTGTGAGGTTGTACAGGGACATGCACAGAAGTGCACTGCAGGCATGGGTGGACTTTCCTCGTTTCAATTTGGGAAGTCCCTCTATGTTAGGCATTTCATAAACTATGAAGCTGTCTCTGCAGAGCGGCATGGACACTGTAAGAACTGTAAGAACTACAGTGGAAATAAGATGGTTGCAAGACTGTTCTTCTGTGAATGGAAATTGCATTGTCTTGGATCTTTGGAACAAGATCATTTGCATATCTAGGTGTTAAATATTTCCCTTTGGTGTGTTAGTATTAATTTGGAAATCATGTGAATGGCAGAGGTAATGCCTGTAATGTATATATTTATGTATCAGAAGCTTGAACAAAGGAAATGTGCACTGGAAAAACAGTTCCCCCCAAAAAAATTAAAAATAAAATATTAAAATTCTTAAGTAATCCATGTTAAGCAGAAGTGGGAGAGTCATGTCCTTGTACTGCTAGCTGTCTGCTTATGTCTGCACTAGTTGCTTGCATTCAGTATTCCAAAGTACTGAAAATAAGATTCCTGAAAGACATCCAATTTCATCAGACTGAGCAACACTTGGGCTCTTACTGTTACGGTAATGTCAAATGACATGTTCTAACTTGTTTTGCTTTAATCTTGGAAACAATTACTGAGGTTGACAACGTTCTAATTTGGCCCATTTATACCGTATTTAAAAATAGGTATTTGTAAATGTCCTGTCACTTCAGTGAGGTATGCAAATTAAAAATAGAATAAAACTTTCAAAAGGTGTCTAACTAATGTACATTTTAGCTGAGTGCTGCTAAGTAGTTTAAGTAGTTGGAAAGCTGGGATTTGTCTGTTTAGTCATCTTGTGGATTTTGTGTTTGGGAGAGGGGGGAAAAAGTTACTAACTGTAAGCCTGAATTCTGGATTGCTCTTGAATAGGTTTTGGGTAACCTAAAAATCTCTTTGTTCATGTAGCTACAGAGTTTGTGCTGGAAAAAAATTCAGTAGCTTAATCAACTTGGAGATGGTAGAAATTAAATGTTTCACTTTTTGTCTAGGGAGTACCCTTCTTCAGAAAAAAAATACATGTTCTTGGTCAATTGCCTGACAGACAACTGGGCAATTTTCTTGTAAGCATTAAGGCTGTGGTCAGTTTGACAGAGGTGACAGACGTGGAAGCTTCTTTCAGAAGCTCATTGTGCTGCTGCTTTACAACTTAGAACTCCTTTTTTTTTCCTGTCCCTTCCTTGTTCTTGTTGTCCTCCAAGTGTCTTTATCTTCATTTTCTGACGGTCACTACCAGATTCTGCTAACCATTTTTTCATATTTTTGCCAGGACATTAAAGCACCTTTATTGCTGCATAAGTGCTTATGCTTCAAGATTAGCAGATGGTGGGAATTCATACGTGAGTCACTGTTTCCAACAGTCTATGGACTTGAGCAGATATCAGTTTGTGAGCAGATAGAGTTTGTTTTCAAGGCTATCATCACCATCAGGAGGGTTAGAAACATACTTAGAGTTGACAAAACAGAATAGGGAGATCAGATTGTGTACGATGCGTGTTTTGTGTGCAAGGTATGTCATGAAATTCTGGGTCTGCCTGACAGTGTGGTCTGTATTTAACTGCTTTGTGCGGAGCTGGAGCATACAGGGTGTACGTGGGTTGGCATCTGTGCATTCACTCTTCTGCTCGTTGTCATGTGATTAGTTTCAGTGTTGTGTAAGTTCCGAGGACCAGATTAGTGGTAAATTCTCAAGTATGTAAAATCAGGTAACGCTCAGTCTTGGGATATCAGTGGTACGGGTGCATTCCAGTTTTCATGGTGCCAGAGGGACGCATGGATTTTCTACCTTGATACCTTACTTCATACTTAGCTTGAGAAAATAAGCTTGGAAAACAGGAGAATTGACACGGGTGGTGTGTCTGCTGGCTACAATGCTACATGTGAATCCAGACAAGAGATTTCTTCTCTTAGCAAGGCTAGGCAGGAACCGGTTGTAAACAGTCGAGAAGAGGGAAAACCATCAGCGGTCTCAGACAGGGAGACTCCCACGTGTCCCTGAGCTCAGGCTGTGCTGCTGCCTCTGCAGAAGGAAGGGAACATGGCATGTGAGTGTGATGTGGTGGTACCATATTCATGCCTAACCTGACCTAGAGGCCCTACACAGGCACGGATGCCAATCTGATCCTCTGGCGAGTTGATTGAGAAAACAGAACAGACGGAAAACTACTGTTTTTTTTTTGTTTTGGGGTTTTTTTTTTGGCACAGTTAGCTTGTAAACTCAGTACCCTCAGCTCATGGGAAGTCAGTTGGGGACATAGGGTGGAGGCGAGGAAGGGTGGCCTCCCTGTGATGGTGTGACGCTCGGTCAACCTGTTACCAGCAAGCCTCTCCCTGGGCAGTGGAGACCCACTCGGTGGTGGGCTGCGTAAACGGCTCCTGCTCGCTGTGTTGTGCCGGCACAGCTGTTGGCGTGGCCTCGTGCTGAACCACATCGCCATCGCTTTTTCCCTCCCCTGCTGTGTCATCTTCCAGGCTGATCAGAGCAGCGCTGCGGTTCACGGCCTGGCTGCAGGAACATCTGTACCAACACAGCCCTACGGAGGACGTGTGGGAAGGAGCGGACGTGGTGGGAAAGGAGAGGAGAAAGCAGAGGCTGTTTGGTTGCTGGGGATGGGAATCCAGCCTTTTATTTGACTGCCTGGAAGAAATACTTCCTTGAGGTGTGTTACAGTGGCTCACTGCGGCTGTTTCGTACATCTATTGTGTGCAGAATTATGTCTTCTACAGAGTAGTTAATAGCTGCTAAATTTCTCCCATGGCAAGGCAAAGCAAAGCTTTTAATTAAGGAGGACAATGTCTGGATTTGATGCCTTTTAAAAACTGGCATGCTCCACTCAACCGATGTGCTCGCTTGGCTGAATTTGCTTTTTCTTCTCAGTTTTATTTTTTAGTTTAGAGGTATCTGGAGATCAGACTTATACTTGGTCTGGGACTATCCTTAATATTATCAAAACTTCAGAAATAATAAGTGTAGAGCATACATAGGGGCTGTGAGGAAAATGTGAACGTGATGTTCATTATCTCTCTGAAAATGCCAGAAGTGACCTCTTGGGTTTTGCTGGAGGATGTGTAAAATGGCATTATGGAAGTTCCTTCTGATATGCTTCCTTCCCTTCTTTTATTCCTTTGGTTTCTGTGGAGATACAGCCTCTGTTGCTTGCCTCTGTCCTCAGTTATGCCAATGGGATCAGATGAAATATGTCATCCAGAATTTGGGGGGGAGGAGTCTCTTTTTTTAAGCCTGGATTTTGCTCGGTAAGACTGGACAACAGAAGTAATGGGATAGAGACCAGGGAGGATCATCATCACGGCTAGGCTTTGCGAACGAAGATACTGGAAGGGCTCTACCCACTCTTGCTACAAGCACGCTGATGGCTAAAAAGGCCGATGCAGGATTGGCAAGTCCGGTTGCAGAAGGCACAGCGGAAAGTCTCCTTAGGTGGTATTGGCGAGGCATAGTTCTTTCTGCGTTGTCTTTTCTCTCAGGGAGGATAAGAGGTACTTAAATTGACATTGCTGTTAGAAGAGTAATAGTAAGTCACACCTCTAATGTGGCTTTAGGGGAAGAGATTAATTTCTTTTGCCTTCGTTACAGGAAATATTTAGTTTTCTTCAAGTATTAGTGAACACTAGCTCTCAGTTCCATCTGGTGCAGAATTATGGTAGTTTGCCTCTTCTAAGTGTCCTTGTTCATCAGCCTGCTAGGAGAAAGAGGATTTGAGTTTGGCAAAAGAGGAATTAACTTCTTTTGTGCTTCATGTGTGGAAGTGGCTGAAGGTGCAGAGTGTCAGTGTAAATGGCTACCCTCTGCCCTGCAGCAGAGCTCTGTCTCCTGGGTGTCCAGAATCTTCTGATGCCTCCTAAGGGGTCAGGCTTGGCAGAAACTTCTCTTCATTGATCAGAGTGAGCTTAAACCTGCCTTGGGAAATGCAGTTGTTGACTTTTTGGTATTCATTTCTGGAGGTGCTTACTGAGGCTTCACTGAGCTTGAAGCACACAATGCCAGGGGCTGCTAAAACGAATCAGTCCAGAAGCTGCTGATCTGTCCTCTGAAATATTCTGAAATAATGGATCAGGCCATTAGCACAGCCACTTGGAGGCAGAAAATAACTATGCTGGTTCTTTTTTTTTTCCTTTTTTTTTCCTTTTT